GTGTCACTGGCCCTCATATGTGGGATCCGAACCGGGGCCCTCTGGCATCCCAAGCGAGTTCTTAACCATCGCGCCACTCGGCCGGCCCCAAAGAGGTTTTAATATACAAAAACAACCAGTTAGAAGAAACAACAGCAACAAAAAAACTAGCAAATATCTAGGAGCAAACTATAACAAGTGAAAAAATATACCATGTGCTTAGAAAGGAAGATTCAACATAAGATGTTAATGCTATCAAGTTAATATGCAAATTGAATATAACCCAAAAACACCAACAGATTTTTATGTTATGTTGTTTTTCTACAATTGGACTAGGTGATTTCAAGGTTTATAGAAAATAAATACGAAGTTGGGGAAATTCTGGGGAAAAAAGAATGAAGGAGACTAGCTCTATTACTATTACAAGAAACTAAAAAGCCTCAGAGATTAAAACAGTATAGAATTAGCATGTAATTAAATAGACATTAATGAAAAAAGCCAGAGGTGCACCCCAATGTATAACAAATGTAGCATCTTATATAAAGGGAGGAAAATGGACCCATCAGTATATGCTATTGGACAACTTATATGCTGTTGGGACAGACTTATAGCTGGATAATTCTAAATAGATCAAAGACTTAAATGCTTAAAATGAAACTTAAAATTGCTAGGAGAGAAAATGTGTGAACTTTTTTTGTACTATTGGGATGAAGAAAGTCTTTTCTCACTATGACATACAATCCCAAAGCCACAAAAGAAAAGGTTGATAACTCTAACCACATTAAAATGAAAAACTTGTGCTGTCAAAAACACCAAAGTCAAAGTCAAATGACAAACTGAGAAAAATAATTTGCCCTTCATACCATAGATAACAGGCTAATTTTTTGAGTATTTATAGAGTACCTATGAATCAAGAAAAAAAAAGGCCACAACTCATAGAAGTAGGCAAAATATTTGTTATAGGTAATTGACAATAAAGATGAAAAGCTCGTAACTATGTGATCTGCCTCACTCTCAATAAGAGAAATTCAGATTAAAACCATCCTGAGATATATTTTTTATCTTCGGTAGACTGGCAAAACTGCAAGAGTGGGACAAGACACTGTATTAGCAGTGCTACGGAGAAGCAGGTGGTTGGTGGGATGTAAATTTGTAATCTTAGGGAGAACAATTTGTTATTATCTACCCAAATTACAGATGCCTGTATCTTTGGACCCAGCAATTCTATTTCTAAGAATTTATAGGTAAACTCTCACATATGTGAAGAAACTTATCAATGAACTTAATTATTGCATTATTATTTGTAATAGTAAAATGATTGGAAACCTAAATGTCCATTAAGAAGGGGAAAGTAAAATAAATTATATCTCTACAATAGAATAGAGTTGTAAAAAAAGAATGAGTGATAAGCTTTTCAAAAGTAGATATGGAAAGATTGCAAAGATTATAGAGTAGAGGGTGAAAAAGCAAGATGCCAGAAAATATAATGTGTTACCACTTATATAAAACAGGAGGGGAGAATAAATATATCTAGATTGTTTTGTGTGTACACAAAAAGTTGCTAAAAGAAAGTAATTAACAATGATTTTTAACTGAGGGACAGAGTGGGCAAGGCAATAACTGAGCAGATGGGATGGGTAAAAAGGAGATTTATTTTAGTGTATACCTTTTATATATTTTAAATATTTGAACTATGTGAATGTATGGGGTTGTCGGAAAAGTCATGACACATGTTTGTGACAGATGACACTAGTTCATTTTTGGAAGTACTAGCATCATTCACATCTATGTTATTGCTATGTCATTTGACAGCTGACAGTTCTAGCTTCATTCTAAAAAAAATTGAGCGATTTGATTAAGTTTTGGAGATTTTACAACAAGTTGAAGATGGAAGACCAAACTGTGCATTTTCACCATATTTTACTGTTACCTCCATAAAGGGAAGAACGTGCGTCAAGCTTGTGAAAAGTTGCATAAAGCTTGTGGTGACAATGCTCTACAAGAATGTCAGTGCCAACGATGGTTCACGAAATTCTGTGCTGGTGATTTTGATCTCAACGACACTCCTCGGTCAGGGAGGCCCACCGAGGTTGATGACGACAAAATAAAGGCATTGATCAAGTCAAACCCACCTTACACGACACAAGAGATTGCAGGAACATTGAGCATCCATCATTCAAGCGTTCACAACCACCTGAAGAAGCTGGGAAATGTAAGCAAGCTCGATATTTGGGTTCCGCATGAACTCAAATAAGTTCATTTGACAGTGCGTATAAACATCTGCAATACCCTCATTAAACATGAGGAAAATGATCCTTTTTTGAAGTGACTGATAACTGGTGAGGAGAAGTGGATTGTTGCCAACAATGTGGTGCGCAAATGGTCTTGGTCCCGACGTGATGATTCGCCTCAAATGACATCGAAAGCAGACATTCATCAGAGGAAGGCTATGCTCTCAGTGTGGTGGGATTTTAAAGGTGTGTTTTTCGAGCTCCTACCAAGGAATGAAACAATCAATTTGAATGTGTACTGTCAGCAATTGGACAATTTGAACAAATTCATCATCCAGAAATGTCCAGACCTCGTTAATCGTAAAGGAGTTGTGTTCCATGACGACAACGCGAGACCACACACAAGTTTGATCACCCACCAGAAATTATTGGAGCTTGGATGGGATGTGTTGCCACACCCACCATACTCGCCTGACCTTGCGCTGTCAGACTTCCACTTGTTTTGCTCTCTTCAAAACTCCTTGCATGGTAGAATCCTCAATTCAGATGAGG